GACCTGGAGATAGCAGAGGAGATCCAGAGCAGAGCCTTGGCCAGCTGATGGGTGGAAGAAGGTTTGAGTTGGTCCACTTGGTCCACGGGTCACCACAGCCAGGTTGTCCCCCGGGACAGGAAGAAGCTGGCCCAACGGCTGCAGGAGGCTGAGGAGGCGGTGGAGGCGGTCAATGCCAAGTGTTCCTCTCTAGAGAAGACCAAGCACCGGCTGCAGAATGAGATTGAAGATCTCATGGCTGACCTTGAGCGGTCAAATGCAGCAGCTGCTGCTTTGGACAAGAAGCAAAGGAACTTTGACAAGGTAGGAGAACCAAGAAATGGTGGAAGGAGAATAGTGGGAAGAGGGTGGAGAGATGTAGGTCCCACCAATCACAGAAAGGCAGGAGAAAAAGTCCAGAAGAAAGGTGAACAACTGTCAAGGTCTAGGTTTCAGCAGAGCTTCAAGTCCCTACCAAAAGAGTGTTGGGGAGAGGAGGAGGACAATGAAAAGAAATTTTTTTGTGGGCAAAGCAGCTTCTGAGCAGGTTATGTCCCCATAGATCTTGTCTGAGTGGAAGCAGAAGTTTGAAGAGTCACAGATGGAGCTGGAGGCATCGCAGAAAGAGGCCAGATCCCTTAGCACTGAGCTCTTCAAACTGAAGAATGCCTACGAAGAGTCACTTGATCACCTGGAGACCTTAAAGAGGGAAAACAAGAACCTCCAAGGTGAGACCATGGTCCTTTGTCTACCCACCATGATGTTTTCCACTACCTTCCACATATTCTGATGTGTTCTCACCTGAGCAGAGGAGATTTCGGACCTCACGGAGCAGCTGGGTGGCAGCCACAAGACCATCCATGAGTTGGAGAAGGTCCGAAAGCAGCTGGATGCTGAGAAGCTGGAACTTCAAGCAGCGCTGGAGGAGGCTGAGGTGAGCCAAATCCCATCCCCATGAATCTCCATGTTGTTCTGGTCTTCTTTGTGGTTCTCAGTTTTCCCTCTGTCTCTTCCAGGCCTCTCTGGAGCATGAAGAGGGGAAGATCCTGAGGGCCCAACTGGAGTTCAACCAAGTCAAGGCAGACTACGAGCGCAAGCTGGCCGAGAAGGATGAGGAGATGGAGCAGGCCAAGCGCAACCATCTGCGGGTGGTGGACTCGCTGCAGACCTCACTGGATGCTGAGACCCGGAGTCGCAATGAAGCCTTGCGGCTAAAGAAGAAGATGGAGGGTGACCTCAATGAGATGGAGATTCAGCTCAGCCATGCCAACCGCATAGCCGCTGAGGCCCAGAAGCAAGTCAAGACATTGCAGGGCTACCTCAAGGTACCAATAAAATTCTGTTTCATAAGAATGTTGAGATGTAGTAGATTACACCACCCCACAGTAGAAGAAGAGTGGACCTTCAACCCCTTCCCCCCCATCCACATTCACCCTGTTCACCTATGCTGTCTTGTAGGACACTCAACTGCAGCTAGATGACGTGGTCAGGGCCAATGAGGACCTGAAGGAGAACATTGCCATTGTGGAGAGAAGGAACAACCTCCTCCAGTCTGAGCTGGAGGAGCTGCGGGCGGTGGTGGAGCAGACTGAGAGAGCCCGCAAATTGGCCGAGCAGGAGCTGATTGAGGCCAGTGAGAGGGTCCAGCTTCTCCACTCACAGGTGAGACCTCATGCACTTTCAAGGAAAGAGGTCACCTGCATCCACAGGTGTGGGATTCTAATGAGTTGAGTTACCAAGATGTCCAGATCCTTGAAGCCTCCAGACTTGGCAGGGGTGTGGGCATTAAGTACTGAAGAAGGATGGGTCAGCAGTTCCATAGACACCTCATGAGATCCTCTTCTCCGTCTCCAGAACACCAGCCTCATCAACCAGAAGAAGAAGATGGAGGCTGACATCTCCCAGCTGCAGACGGAGGTGGAAGAGGCCATCCAGGAGTGCAGAAATGCTGAGGAGAAGGCCAAGAAGGCCATCACTGACGTGAGTGCCCTGGTGGAAACAACAGCTAGGATATCTTCCAGTGGAGAGTAATGAACCTCCTTTTCTGCTTGCTTCTCTCCTTGAGTAGGCGGCCATGATGGCAGAGGAGCTGAAGAAGGAGCAGGACACCAGCGCCCACCTGGAGCGGATGAAGAAGAACATGGAGCAGACCATCAAGGACCTGCAGATGAGGTTGGATGAGGCCGAGCAGTTGGCCCTCAAAGGGGGCAAGAAGCAGCTGCAGAAGTTGGAGGCCCGTGTGAGGGAGCTGGAGAATGAGCTGGAGGGTGAGCAGAAGCGCCATGCTGAGAGTGTCAAGGGTCTCCGCAAGTCCGAGCGTCGTGTCAAGGAGCTCAGCTACCAGGTGGGTTGCCTGAGGTGGCCCTGGATGTTATCCACTGGCCCTGTGTCCACAGGGCCTTATGTCTGATGCTGTATGTGACTTGCAACATGGCTGACCTGGTAGCCAGAGAAACACAGGTGAACTAGACCACCCATTGCCTGTATGTCCAATTCTGTAGTGGAACCCAGAACATGGTAGGCCTGGTGGTCATGAGCCACCCAGTCCACCCCCCAGCATCCATGGGGTCTTTGCATGACCCAGAATCTCAGGTGAAACCTTAACAGGGACAAAAAAGACACCTTCACCCAAGAGGACATCCCACCTTCTGCCCCACAGCTGAGGCCACCAGAGAGCCTCCACTCCCCAAGATCATCTCTAACTGTCTCCTGACCCTCGTGGCTCTGGTGATGATCCAAAGCATGGATGGGGTCAGGTCCTGATTCACATGTGTCTCACCCCACAGACAGAGGAGGACCGCAAGAACCTGGTCCGGCTCCAGGACCTGGTGGACAAGCTCCAGCTGAAGGTCAAGGCCTACAAGCGACAGGCAGAGGAGGCGGTGAGCAGTGGAGGGCAGCTTTGGGACCACTCTCCAGGAGGGACCAGTGTGGGGTTGGGGTGTGAGACAGGATGTAGGGAGTAGCAGGGAACTTTAGTGTCGTTAAGGAGTGGGGTGTCAGGGGCTGAGGAAGGTGGGCCAAGGGAGAGGTGGGGGGGTGGTAGAATGGCTGTGGGACAGGTGACTAGAAAGTTGACTGGATGTTTGGATGGATGGAAGGTTGGATAGATGATGGTGGGTTGAATGGCTGGCTGGCTGGAAGGTGGAATGATTGCATAGATGAAAAGCTGGACAGGTGGGTGGAAGGTTGGTTGGGTGGATGGAAGGTCAAATGGTGGAAAGATGGATGAAATGTTGGCTGGCTGACTGAATGGATGTACAGAAGGAAGGCTGAATGGTGGAATGTTGGATGGATGGATGGATGGATGGATGGATGGATGGATGGATGGATGGATGAAAGGATGAAAAGATGAAAGGAAGGAAGGTAGGTTTAGTGGGTGGAAGGTTGCATGGATGGGATATTAGAGGGCTGGTTGTTTGAGTAGATGTTTGGGTAGCTGGAGATGGAATTACTGAAGGGACAGGTGGGTCCATGGTAGGCCAGATGGAGCAATAAGAAAGTCAGATGGAGGGACAGCTGGCAGGGTGGCAGGAGGCCACATGGAATTGAGGCGGAGCCCCACTGATGCCCCTGTCCCCCAGGAGGAACAAGCCAACTCCAACCTGGCCAAGTTCCGCAAGGCACAGCATGAGCTGGATGAGGCGGAGGAGCGTGCCGACATTGCTGAGTCCCAGGTCAACAAGTTGCGGGCCAAGAGCCGTGACATTGGAGCCAAGGTGGGACTTCTCCCTTCCCCACAGCTGCCCCATGGCTGCCACATGGCTGTCCCCACAACTCCCTCATGTTTACACTCCAATTTTTTTCCTTCTCTATCAGAAGGGACTCAACGAGGAGTGAAGCTCTGGATTCCCAGCTGTATTCCCTGGACCTCTAAATGCCCCACCCCTGCTCCCAGCCCCCTAACCTTGGTTAGCCAATAAAAAGCATTGAGCAGCAGCAGTTTGTGTGGGGCTGGGTATGTGTTGGGCTGGGTTTGTGTTGGGCTGGGTTTGTGTGGGGAGGGTGGAGTTGTCCCATGACATGGCACCCACAAGGTGGATGCAGCCCACAAGATCACCCATTAGTGTGCAACATAGCACACTCCACAGCATGATGCAACCAGATGCACAGTGCAACATGATGTGACTGATGGGGTGCACCTTAACCTCAACCTTCCCCACATTGTAACTCAGCCTGCCCCATGGTGCTTTGCAACCTCAACTTGCCCCACACCAACCCATGTCCATGTGGAAGAGACATGTCCAGGGGCAGATGTGGGGCTGGGGAGGGAGGGTCCCAGGAGGTGGGGGGAAGCATCTGAGTCCCCCACATATGGAGCAGAGCCTGAGTGAACCCCTCAAGGATGTCTTGGCTCCTGAGGCTGCAGCTTCTCCTGCTGCAGGTGCTAATGTCCCTCCAACTTGGTATCAGTGTTCCCCTGGCCACCAGCTGCTCTGTCCCACTGCACACCATGTCCCACCATCCCCCATGCCCTACTGAGACTCTGTCCCGTGTCCCTCCATCCCTCTGTCCTTTCCATCCATCATCCCACAACTTCCTGGCCCACCAGCCCTGTCTATCTCCCACGGTCCCTCCACCTCCTCTATGGCCTCCTAGTCCCTCCAGGTTCTCAATGTCCCACCAGGTCCCGCTGTCCTTCTCTCCCCTGCCTGTTCCTCCCCTTCTCAAATCCTCTGTCCCACTGCCCTCCCCCTCTCCTCCCCCCCCGCCCTGCCTTCCCCGTCCATCTGTCGCCCCATCCCTCCTCCAGTCCTGGTGGCGCCGCGTGATGGACCCCAGGGGACCCTGGCGTCCGGGCGGCTCCCCTCCCCCGCCAAACTCGGGCCAAGGAGGAGGAGGCGTGTCTCTATGGGGCTTTATGTGGAGTCTGTGGGGCTCTATAGGGACTCTGTGGGGCTCTGTGGAGACTCTCTGCAGCTCTGTGGGGTTCCTGTGGGGCTCTATAGGAGATCTATAGGGCAGAGGAAAGGATCTGTGGGGCAGGGAAGGGGATCTGTGGGGCACAATGGGGAGGTGGGGACCTTCCCACCCGTAGGAATGTGTCACCTCGCGGGGACTCTTGTCACCTCCTCGATAACAAAGTGGACATTGTGTTCGAGGACTGTTGCCAGACACCCCCCCCCCCAGACCCCTGCCGGCCCAACGGTGCCTCACAGGGGGGGACGAGATAACAATCTGCCCCCCCTCCCTGCCGTGTCCAGATATAGACCTGGCAGGGTTGAGCTGTCACCACCCCATGGGTGACAGGACATTGGCCAGGGACCCAGGCATCCAGGCCCCATAGACACCCCCTACACAAAGGACCTGGGCATCCTAGCCCCACAGATCCCCTCCATGCACAAGGGACCCAGGGGTCTGGGCTCCATAGATCCCCCCCTAACAGGTGACCGGGAGTCTGGGCCCCATAGAATCACCACATCCCCCACCAAGGGACCCAGGCATCCAGTCCCCATAGATCACCCACACACACAAGGGACCCAGGCACCTGGGCTCCATAGTTTCCCCCCACACAGAAGGTACCCATGTGTTTGGGCTCCATAGACACCTCCTACGCAAGGGACCCAGGCATTCATGCCCCACAGATCACCCCACATTTCCCCCACCCCACAAGGGATCCAGGCAGCCCTTGCTCTTCCTTAATAGCTCTGACCCATAGATCATCCTGTGGGGTGAATGTGGGGTCCTGGTCATCTGGGTTACTGGAGAGATACCACTGTGGGGCTGGGGAAGGGGGGAAGCTGCCCCCTCCCTCTCCCTTATCAGCCACCCCCTCCCCAGGAATGCTCCTCCCCTCCCCACCCCATTATGGCCTATAAAGGCTGTGGGGCTGCGGGGCTGGCATAGGTGTTGGCGTGGGATAGAGAGCGAGCTGGTGTGGGGCACAGAAGGGATGTGGGATGTGGATATGAGGGGTTGAAAGGGGGGTATGGGGAGCTATGGGGTGCACAGGATGGCTATGGGGCACATGGGGATCTATGGGGCACAGGAATCTCTGGGGGCTATGGGGCACAGGGGGGCTATGTGGCACACGGGGTTTCTCTGGGGTGCGGGGATATGTGGGATACATGCGGGGTTATGGGGCACAGACTATCTAAGAAGCACCAAGAGGAACTGTGAGGCACAGAGATCTATGGGGGTACAGGGATCTATGGGACACCAGTGGTCTATGGGGCACCCAGGGGGCCTATGTGGAACACAGCAGAGCTATGGGACACATGGGATTGTCTATGTGGCAAAGGGATCTATGGGGCATAAACGGGTCTATGGGGCAAAGAGTGTCTATAGGGGCTATGGGGTTCAGGGATCTATGGAGTGCAGCCCCTCACCCTCTGCATGTCCCTCCAGCTCCTTTCATCGTACCTGCTAGATCCACGGACTCCAGGTGAGGGTGGTGGCCTGGCGCAGTATGGGGATTGGTGCTTTGGGGGGTGTTGCTATAGGGTGCATGTGTCCCTATAGGGTCTGTGCATCACTGCAGGGGGTCCATGCATTGCTACGGGGTTCTGCATGGGGGGCTGTGCATGACTGTAGAGCTCCCTGTATTGTTATAGGAGTCCCTGCAATGCTATGTGTCTCCGTGCATCACCATAGGGATCCCTGAATCACTACAGGGCTCTGTGCGTGGCTATAGGAGTCTGTGCATTGCTACGGGTGTCCGTGCATCACTACAGGGGTTAGTGGGTGGCTGTGGAGACCCCTGCATCACTATAGGAGTCTGTACATGCAGGGTGCATGGGTAGTGGGGTCCTTGCATGACTGTAGGGGTCTGCCCATAGCTATAGGGGGTCTGTGCACTGCCATAGGGATCAATACATGGGGAGATGCATGGCTACAGGGTTCTGTGCATGGGGCCATACACCACTATGATGGTCTGTACTTTGCTATTGGGGTCCCTGCATGGCTATAGGGGTTCCTGAATTACTATAGTGGTCTGTGCATGGGGCAGTGTGTGACTATATGGGTCTGCAGTGGGCTACATGGCTTGCTGCACATCTATCTGTAGGGTCCAACACATGGGGCTGTGCACAGCCATAGGGTTTTGTGTCTGGCTATAGTGTCTGCCACAGCTATAGAGGTCTGGGCACAGGTATGGGAGTCCATGCATGGCAATGGGGCTGTGGTCAATGGGGTTGTGCGGGGCCATGGGGTGAGGGGTGAGACCCCGCAGCCAGAGTCCCACAGCCCCTCAGGTGATGTGAGGCCCCTGTCTGTGTGGGGCAGGATGGGAGATGCAGTGCTGGCGGCACTGGGGGCGGCAGCTCCCTTCCTGCGGCCAGGGGAGCGGGAGCGGCTGGCATCGCAGACCAGGCCCTTCGACCCTCGCAGCGAGTGCTTCATCCCCCACCCCCGTGAGGAGTTTGTGCGGGGGCGGGTGATGGGGCGCCAAGGCGGGGAGGTCACCGTCCAGACCGAGCTGGGAGAGGTGGGCAACTGAGAGGGTAGAGGAGGGTGAGGGCAGGGGGGCAAGGGGTCACAGGGAACAAAGGGTTAATCGGGGTGAGGGGATAATGAAGTTAAGGATGGGAGGGTTTGATGGGGGTGCAGGCATGAGGGGTGATTGGTGGTGGGGGATGAAAGGGGGTTGGGCTTCATGGAGGGTGAGGGGTTGGTGGGAAGCTGGGGGGTGAAGGGTTAAGGAGGGAGGGGTTAATGGGGTGAAATTAATGGGGAATGGGTTAAAGGAGGGAGGGGGGTTGAAGGTTTTTGGGGGTGTAAAGCGAGGAGGGGGAGACTAGGCCCATTGAAGACCTTCCAACTCATGAGAGGTGCCCCAAAACCCACAGAAGATTCCCCCACAACCCATGGAGGACCCCTCACCCACAGAGCACCCCCAACCTACAGGGTGCCCCCCAAACCATGGGACATCCCACAACTCCGACTCCCTTGTGCTCCCATCCCCCCTAGACAATGACGGTCAAGGAGGCTGACGTCCACCAGCAGAATCCCCCCAAGTTCGACAAGATCGAGGACATGGCCATGCTGACCTTCCTGCACGAGCCCGCCGTGCTCTTCAACCTCAAGGAGCGCTACGCCTCTTGGTTGATCTATGTGAGTCCTCCCACAAGCACCTGGGGCACCTGGGAACTGGGCACGGTCTTCCCCACAGCCTAAGGTGTGGATGGAAGCTAGTGACCCTTCCCTAAAACTCTTGGGGTACCTAGAACCAGGTGGGCTTTCCAGAGCCACCTAGAACCTGGTGGTGTAGCTTCTCCATGGACTTTGGGACACCAAGAACCTGGTGAACCTTCTCCAGCCCCCTTGGGCCACCCAGACCCAAGATGTTGCACTCCTGAACCATTTTGGCCACCTAGACCTGAGATGTCCCATCCCCCGACCTAGATCCAAGATATCCCTTCAATAGCCCCCTCGATGTGACACACAAGATGTCCCACCCCTGGATCCTTTGGTTCACACAAGATGTCCCATCTCTGGATGTTGTGGGCCACCCAGACCCAAGATGTCTCATCTCCATCCCCTTTTGGCCCCCCAAATCATGATGCCCCTTCCCCACATCCCTTGGGCCACCTAGACCTAGGATGTCCCCATCTGGTGGGGTGGCACCTCCAGGCTCTGACCCACCTGACCCTTTCTCCAGACCTACTCAGGACTCTTCTGCGTGACGGTCAACCCCTACAAGTGGTTGCCTGTATACAACGCTGAGGTGGTGGCTGCCTACCGGGGAAAGAAGCGGAGTGAAGCTCCACCCCACATCTTCTCCATCTCTGACAATGCCTACCAGAACATGCTGACAGGTAGGGACCTCCTCTGGGGACCTCAAACTAGAAGACCCCACCCCAAACACTGGATTCTGACCTAGACCTCGCCCTCACCTGGGAGGATGGAAAACCTCAATCTCAACCCCAAGACCCCAAAGATGCCTCCCAACTTCTTCCCACCTGACTCCTTTCATCTCTTGGCAGATCGAGAGAACCAGTCCATCCTCATCACGTAAGTCTGTCCTCGCCTGATGCTGCCCCATAGTGCTGGGGTGTGATAAAGGAGCCACCATGATATTCTCCAACATCTCACTGTTGCCACCCTAGTGGAGAATCCGGGGCGGGGAAAACAGTCAACACCAAGAGGGTCATCCAGTACTTTGCCAGCATTGCTGCCATCGGCGACCGCAAGAAGGAGGCAACCAACAGCAGCAAGGTGGGGCCTCAGGTCACGCACCCCCAGCATTGAGTGTCCCCCAATGGTATGCACACCCAGGATTGTTCCATCCCATCAGGGCACCCTGGAGGACCAGATCATCCAGGCCAACCCTGCCTTGGAGGCCTTTGGCAATGCCAAGACCCTCCGCAATGACAACTCATCTCGATTCGTGAGTGTTGGGGGTGGGATCTATGGGGCAGAGTCTGTGGGATGGGGTCTATAGTGTGGGGTCTGCTGGGAGGCTTCCACCTCCTGCCACTGTTTTTCCAGGGGAAGTTCATCCGAATCCATTTTGGGGCCACCGGGAAGTTGGCATCAGCTGACATTGAGACCTGTGAGTGGGTTGAGAGGCTCCATGAAAGAACGTCTGGCAGTCCTTCATCCATCCCTCCATGGACTCATCTATTCATGGATTTATTCATCCATGCTAGGACTTATCCATCTATGGACTCATCCATCCATCCATGAACTCCATCCGTCCATCCATCCATTCCTCACTCCATCCAGTCAGCACTCCATCTCCAACTCTTCAACCCACCGTCCACTGGATCCTCTGTCTCCCATTTTTTTGTCCTTCCATCTTGTGTCTCCCTCTCTCCTTCCTTCCCTCCCTCTCCACATGTCCCTTGATGGATGCCCTCTCTGGATGGATTTGTGAGACACTGTCCTGTTGTCCATCCATCCATCTTCTCATCCCACCATCCATCTGATCTTTCACCTCCACCTCCTCATCCCTCTGTCTCCTCATCCTACCATCCAGCCATCCCTTCTTCTCCATCTCCTCATTCTACCATCCATCTCTCCATGTCTCCATCCATCTCTCCATGTCTCAATCCATCACCTCCTAATCCCAACCTCTAACGTCTTTCTTTCCATTCCCACCCCAGATCTCCTGGAAAAGTCCCGTGTAATTTTCCAGCTGAAGGCTGAGAGGAACTACCACATCTTCTACCAGATCCTCTCCAACAAGAAGCCAGAGCTGCTGGGTGAGTTGGGTGCTTGGCCTTGGGTCTTCTCCTTCCTCCCCTCCTAAATTTCTCTGCTCCTTCTTGGGGCAATTGAGGGTGATTTGGGGCTGTTTGGCCACTGGAAGTGCTCAATTTTTTGTCTCCATCCTGGGCCACCACGGAGCAGAGATGCTTCTCATCACCAACAACCCCTATGACTACAGTTACGTCTCCCAAGGAGAGGTGACTGTGGCCTCCATTGATGACTCTGAAGAGCTGTTGGCAACTGATGTAAGTGGTGGGGTGGGCAGGTGGACATCCCCTGGCTGAGGAGAAGGCGAAGTGCCAGGTGGATGGTTGAGATAGTAGAAGAGGGATGGATGGAGGAGAGGAGGAATGTAGGGATGAGAGGTGGAGGATGGGAAGGGTGGAGGGCAAGGGAGATGGTGGGTTGGTCACATGGGATGATGCAGGATGAGGGACAGAAGGTAGGAGAGGAGAGTGGCTTTGGTCGAGGAGGTTGTGGGTGGAGATAAAAACAGGTGGGAGAGTCCTTGGTGGACAGATGAGTCCACAGGTGGACAAGTCCTCAAATGGATGGATAAGCCCATGAATGGATGGATGGAGTTCATGGTGGATGGATGGAGTTCATGGTGGATGAATGAGTCCATGGATGGATGAGTCTGGGGATGGGTGGGTGGATGGATGGATGCAGTACTCAGATGGGTGGATGGATGAGTCCATGGATGGATGAGTCCTTGGATGGACAGACTGACAAGTTGGAAGGGCAGAGGGACATACAAATGCTGGCCAGCAGACGGCTGTGACCTCAGCTGGACAGAGTGGGTGGCAAGGCCCTCTCCCACCTGCCTCCACCCACCCACCAGAGCGCTTTTGATGTCTTGGGCTTCACTGCTGAGGAGAAGGCCGGTGTCTACAAACTGACAGGTGCCATTATGCACTTTGGCAACATGAAGTTCAAGCAGAAGCAACGGGAAGAGCAGGCAGAACCAGACGGCACTGAAGGTGAAGCAGGTGGGGGGGATGACATCGGTTTTGGGGTCACCAAGTGAGGTGGGACCTGACAGCATGTCTTCTTCACACTCTGTAGATGCCGACAAGTCAGCCTACCTGATGGGGCTGAACTCGGCTGATCTTCTCAAGGGGTTGTGTCACCCCCGTGTGAAGGTGGGCAATGAGTACGTCACCAAGGGGCAGAATGTCCAGCAGGTGTACTACTCCATCGGGGCTTTGGCCAAAGCTGTGTATGAGAAGATGTTCAACTGGATGGTGGTGAGGATCAACAACTCTCTGGACACCAAGCAGCCACGGCAGTACTTCATCGGTGTGCTAGACATTGCTGGCTTCGAGATTTTTGATGTGAGGACTGAGGGGGTGGCAGGGCAGTGGCATTGCTCCTCTTGGAGGTTGGGTTGATCCAACTGGGTATTGAGCTGATCTTCTGAAGCTTCAGGGGGAACTCTGGTGGAGACTTACCCTCTTTGGGCCTTGTTTTGACCCTGCTGGGTGTTGAGTTGACTTCATTGATACTACAGGGCATTGTGTTGATCCTGTTGGGTCTCAGGTTGACCCACTAATCTTGGGTGTTCTATTGACCCTGTTGGGTGTTGAGCTGACCCAGATGACCCTGTTGGCCATCTCCTCTCTCCTTCCCCAGTTCAACAGCTTTGAGCAGCTCTGCATTAACTTCACCAATGAGAAGTTGCAGCAGTTCTTCAACCACCACATGTTCGTGCTGGAGCAGGAGGAGTACAAGAAGGAGGGGATTGAGTGGGAGTTCATTGACTTCGGCATGGACCTCCAGGCCTGCATTGACCTCATTGAGAAGGTGCCACCTCCCCCCAGGGCTTCTGGGGGCTGAAGGGGCTGCTGGGGAAGGGCCCTTCCAGTTGGAGCTTGCCAGGGACCCCAAAGTTGGGCAGTTGGGTTGTGCTTGGTGTTCACTATGACCAACAAGGTCTTCTCTTCCCAGCCCATGGGGATCATGTCCATCCTGGAGGAGGAATGCATGTTCCCCAAGGCCTCAGATATGACCTTCAAGGCCAAGCTCTTTGATAATCACTTGGGCAAGTCAGCCAACTTTGGGAAGCCACGCAATGTCAAAGGGAAGCCAGAGGCCCACTTCTCCCTCATCCACTATGCTGGCACGGTAGACTACAATATCATTGGATGGCTGGAGAAGAACAAGGACCCTCTCAATGAGACAGTGGTGGGGCTCTACCAGAAATCAGCCCTGAAGCTCTTGGCCAACCTCTTCTCCAACTATGCTGGGGCAGATGCTGGTGGGTGGATGGATGGTTGGGTGATGGAGGGATAGGTGGACAGAGAAGACCGTTGTCCTCCAGAAATTGCCCTGTTTCCTGTCTCACCCCACCCTTCTTCTCCCCAGGTGGTGATGGAGGGAAGGGGAAAGGAGCCAAGAAGAAAGGTTCCTCCTTTCAGACTGTCTCAGCCCTGCACCGGGTGAGGAATCTACATAGTGGACCCAATGTGGGGCAACACAAGGACAAGCTCCCACATGGTGGATCACCCCTCCAGCACTCCAGCTTCTCCCCTGCTTTTCCATTGGTCAGCCTTTTCTCTCCTCCCTTCTCACCAGGAGAACCTTAACAAGCTGATGGCCAACCTTAAGACCACCCACCCTCATTTTGTTCGCTGCATCATCCCCAATGAGCGGAAGGAACCAGGTGAACAAAGAGTGGGGCTGAGGGCAGGGAAAGGGATGGTAGGTATGGCTTGTGGCTGACCTCACCTCTCTAACCCATCACCAGGTGTGATGGACAATCCCCTGGTAATGCACCAGCTCCGCTGCAATGGGGTGCTGGAGGGCATCCGCATCTGCCGCAAGGGCTTCCCAAACCGCATCCTCTATGGGGACTTCCGCCAGCGGTAGGCACAGAGGAGAAGATGTGGGGAGGGGATGGACAACCCCACTAGGGCTGATCTCAGGGTTTTCCTCTCCTCTCCGACCACCAGGTACCGCATCCTGAACCCCGCTGCCATCCCCGAGGGGCAGTTCATCGACAGCCGCAAGGGTGCTGAGAAGCTCCTGGGATCCATTGACATTGACCACAACCAGTATAAGTTTGGACACACCAAGGTGATATCTCATGGTCTTTCCATGGTTCCATGACCCATGAGGTCACACAGACCCATGGTCCCACCATCGATGTGTCTACCTGCCCGTCCACCCCACCATCCATCCCTCTGTCCACTCATCAACTCATCAACCCATCCATCTGTCTACCAACTCTTCCACCAACCCTTCCCAACCAACTCACCCTCTCACTTGCCTCATTCCTCCACCAGGTCTTCTTCAAGGCTGGGCTGCTGGGGCTCCTGGAGGAGATGAGGGATGAGCGTCTCTCCCGCATCATCACCCGCATCCAGGCTCAGGCCCGAGGTCAGCTCATGCGCATTGAGTTCAAGAAGATCCTGGAGCGCCGGTGAGAGGGGAAGGGTCTCTCTCCTTGAGGAGGAAACTGGCGGGTCACCAGGCTTGTGCTGTGGTGGCATCAGTCTCCCCATTCTAGGGACTCACTGCTGGTGATCCAGTGGAACATCAGGGCCTTCATGGGGGTGAAGAACTGGCCTTGGATGAAGCTCTACTTCAAGATCAAGCCCTTGTTGAAGAGTGCTGAAACAGAGAAGGAGATGCAGGTGGGAGGAGGTGGTGAGGCAGGCGGGTTGGGACCCAACATGCATTGGGTGGGGTTGATGGATGGAGGGGATTGGACATGCTATTGGTCTCCTGGGCTTTGTGCCTCCTTCAGAACATGAAGGAGGAGTTTGGGCGGCTGAAGGAGGCTCTGGAGAAGTCAGAGACCCGGCGGAAGGAGTTGGAGGAGAAGATGGTCTCCATGTTGCAGGAGAAGAATGACCTTCAACTCCAAGTGCAGGCTGTGAGTGAGGCTGCCCTCCAAAACCATGTCAGGTGTGTGACCACCACCACCCTCCCATGGCCATTCTACTTCACCTGCCACTCCAATACAGGAGCAGGACAACCTCAATGATGCTGAAGAGCGCTGTGACCAGCTGATCAAGAACAAGATCCAGCTGGAGGCCAAGGTGAAGGAGCTGACAGAGCGACTGGAGGATGAGGAAGAGATGAATGCAGAACTGACAGCTAAAAAGAGGAAGCTGGAGGATGAGTGCTCAGAGCTGAAAAAGGATATTGATGATCTAGAGCTGACTCTGGCCAAGGTGGAGAAGGAGAAACATGCCACAGAAAACAAGGTAAGGTGGGGAGGGGCCTTGACTTCAAGCTGTGGGGATTTGAGTCAACTCAGCCTGGTTGTGTTCAGTTGAGGAGACCCAAGGCTACTTATCTGGGCTACATCAAGACTCAGTGTTCTTTGGGTTCTCCACCACTGGTCTCATTAGCCAAGGACAACAGCAACGTCCCCCAGCTCTTATTTTACTCTTGGTACCAAGCTGGAGGCCTGATGTTTCTTCTGCAGGTCAAGAACCTCACAGAGGAGATGGCTGGGCTGGATGAGACCATTGCCAAGTTAACAAAAGAGAAGAAGGCACTGCAAGAATCTCACCAGCAAACACTCGATGACCTGCAGGCGGAGGAAGACAAGGTCAACACCTTGACAAAGGCCAAACTCAAGATGGAACAGCAAGTGGATGATGTGAGCGTGGGCTGCTCCCAACATGGGTACTGCTGAAGAGGTTACTGGGGAAGAGATGATGAAAAACTGAGGTCTCTCCCCATTTCCATGTTTCCACGCAGCTTGAAGGCTCCCTGGAACAGGAGAAAAAGATCCGGATGGACCTGGAACGGGCCAAAAGGAAGCTGGAAGGTGACTTGAAGCTGACCCAGGAGAACATCATGGACCTGGAGAATGACAAGCAGCAGCTGGAGGAGAAGCTCAAAAAGTAAGGCTGGACCTCCTTCCCCAGTTTAAACTGGTCAGGGGGAGAAGGCAAGGACCTCACTGCTGTCTTCATCTGCAGGAAAGAGTTTGAGATCAACCAGCAGAACAGCAAGGTTGAGGATGAACAGGCACTGGCCCTGCAGCTCCAGAAGAAGCTGAAAGAGCTGCAGGTGAGGGATCTATTCTCTGCTTAGTTGTGTTGGGCTGGAGAGCCTCCAGCTGGTGTTGAGGTGAAGAGTCCACATCTGGTTGGGTTGAGGTAAGGAGCTCCCAGCTGGTTGATCTGAGTTAAGTTGACAAGTCTCCAGCTGGTTGGGTTGAGTTGAAGACTTTTCAGCTTGTTGTGTTGAGTTAAAGGCAATCCAGCTGGATTGGTTGACTGGAGAAGCCAGGTGGAACCAAGTCTGCTGACAGCATGTCCATCCCCTGAGCACAGGCACGGATTGAGGAGCTGGAGGAGGAGCTGGAGGCAGAGCGAACGGGCAGGGCCAAGGTGGAGAAGCTGCGCTCAGACCTGTCACGGGAGTTGGAGGAGATCAGTGAGCGTCTGGAGGA